GTGGCGGCGGTGGTGGTGGTGGTCCTGCTCCTGCTCCTGCTCCTGCTCCTGCTGCTGCTTAAGCGGTACCTGCGAAACAGGTACTGTACTCTAATGCCTCATGCTGATATTATTTGTCCACGCCCTCAAGCCTTGAATGGTAAACCTTAAGCCTATAGCCTGAAAAAAAGCCAGGTGCCAATCGTCCTTTGCAGGACTCCACCCCTTTCTGTAGAACGTCTCCTCTTCTCATTACTCTACTGAAGCAGAAAGTCGGACTTCAAGAGGCCACCAGGCCTATTTTGGCCCCACTCTGAAACTTGGCATACTGAGCCTTAAGAAAAACCCTGCCGGGCACTCCTCAGAGCCTACCTTTCAGGAATATGTCCTGTACTCTCATAGAAATTCGCCCTGAAAGGCCTACAAATTCAGAGCCCGTCCTCCTGCATGGAACCCTGGTTGGGGGGTCAGGGAGGGGGACTTCCTAAGGTGACATGTGGGCATCTTCTAAAATTGGGGGAACCTTTTTGGAGGTCCCTATAATAAGAACTATAAATATGTTTGGGTCCTTTTTGGGGGTCCCCCTATGTAGGGAAACTACCATATAGCCCCCGCAAGGCATGTGATTGCCCCAGTTATCCCCTTTGCTGGCTTGCCTCATACGACGGCTGACCCTACCAGTGGAGGTGAGAGATGATGTTGAAAAAAGCAAGCCAAGATTCTAGCCAAATTTGACAATGTTACAGTAAAAACCTCACGGGGAACCCTGGGAGGTGGGAAATGATGTTGAAACTAACCCTGCATCCTAAGGGGGGAAATGATGTTGATTTTGCTCTTTCCTAATAAGACACGGGAAGAGCAATTTACGCCAAGCCCCATGTGAGAAATGATGTTGAAACTCCCTACTCCCCAAGCCCTCCCTAAACCCCAAGCCCGATTTAGGGTTAAGGGTTTGCCCTAAACCCTAAGGTGGGAAATGATGTTGAAACTGAACAACTTCTTTGCGATGACTCCCTTCGTCATTTGTCTACGGGCCATGTCATGAGCTTCGTGCAGAGTCTTGGGACAAGACTGTGCTTGGGTTTAGGGTTCGGGGTTTAGGGCTTTGCGTTTAGGCTTTAGGGCTTAGGGTTTAGGGTTGAGGGCAATTTTCTTCTGTTCTCCAGCAGGAGTTCAGGTACCGTGGGGTCTACCTTTTTTGCAGGCTTAGAGTTTTGGCAGCTGTCCCAAATTTATGGCTCCTAAATGAGGCTTACGGGCTTGCCGCCTGATTATGCACGGTTCTGTGATGGATATCCAGTACACACATGGGCAGGTTTCAGGCGATAAGGTCTTGTCACGCGTCCCGACTGCAGCGACTAATGGGATTTGGTACTTTCCCTAGATGGGGGAACCTAATATTAAGATTGCTAAATACGATGATTCTTTTTACTGGGGACCCTTTAAAAAGTAGCCCGTAATTCTCGGAAACCCTCCACTTACGAAACTAGAGATTGCAGCGCTGCGCACACAAATGATGTGCAATCTGCCTAGCTTACTGAGTTCTTCGCAGACAAGGGAATGTAAGCCTGATATAATCCCTGAATAAAATAATCCTTTTTGCCTACTAAGACGAAGAACCAGGAAGCTCAGGAGTTTAGCTTGTCATGTCTTTTGGCGGTGTAACACGACTGTCCGATTCCCACGTTTCTGGCCCCGGGCTCTACAACAGACTCGCCGCTGTTGATGAGGGTTTCTTCCAGGCGCCTAAGTAAGGCCTTAAACCCTATACCCTAAACTGGGTTGCTGTTGAGGAACTTTCAATAAGTTACTATATTGGGGACATCCTAGTAATGATTATATATATATATTCATTATGGTACCTTAATTCAAGTTCCATAACATCAACCCAGCAAATCCTATAGTATAGCATCTAGATCTCTAACGCAGGATGTCATCCTTTGATTCTTTGCAAGGGCTGCTGCAGGTTACGGGTCAGTGGGACTGAGTAAGATCCCCTCTAGGCCATAGAGTTGTAAACCTTAGACATGCAGAGTTTACCTTCGAGGGTTTCAGCGGCTGCTTTGAAATCCTTACTTATAGGATTTCATTCAGGCGCACGAAGCGGATGGAAGGTATTTACACTAAGTTCAGGGTACCCCAAATTCCCCTAAACCCCAAACCATGAATCTTAAACCCTCAACCCCTAAGTCCTAGACCCCAAACCCTAAACCTGCAAGCCCCCAACCCCTAAATCCTAGACCCTTCCCCCTAAACACTAAACCCCAAACCCTAAACCCTAAAACAATAATCCCCAAACCCTTAAACCCCAAAGGTCGGCCTTAGGACCTTCAGCCCAGGATCCGCGGGAGCGTTCCTCTGTTCTGGTCGCAGGAACCTTGGCCAACTTGTCGCGACGGGTGGTTTAGGGTTTAGGGGTTTAGGGTTGGGGTTTAGGGGTTTAGGGTTCAGGGTTTAGGGTGGTTCATATACCTCCTGGTAGCTAGTAGGCAATAAAGGAGTTTGATATTGCGTAGGGTCAAGTGCTTATAGAATATTACATAGGGTTATATAAGACTTGTTCCCATTTTCTCTACAACTACTTCAAGTGGGGCTTCGTGAATAAGAGGGGGAGCTCCGATATGGGCTCTTGCCAAGTATAGCACCCCCCCTGACTTTCGGAAACCGTCACATGGAATAGGATCGACTTTGCCTCTTCCAGGCTTAGTTAGGAATCACCTGGTCCTCAAAAGTGGGTAACATCATGGTCCAAATCCTCTAAAGAACATACAAAAGCCTGGTATTCCACATGCTTTGGGGGTCCAGGTATCCTTATACCCTAAACCCTACTTAAGCTTCCTAAGCCCTAAACATCCCTAAGCCCAGGAAGCTACGGCCATGAATCCGAAGCCGCCTGTGGTGTATCCGCGCTGCGACCCCACCTTGACGGCCACAAGGAAGCATTTCGCCGACCTGCTCGAAAGGTGGCCGTCAGGGTTTGGCAGTTAGGCTTTGGGATTTAGGCTTTAGGGTTAATGTTGACCCATGATTAATAAACCCCCTTCTTTTAAGGGCCTCAATATAGGATCCCTATTATAACCCCTATTAAGGGAGGGGGGTGTATTAATCAGGGTTTAGGGTTTAGGGTGAACTATATAGTCTAACATCCTTAAAAGGGGTTATAGAGGGTATAGATTATGTAGGGGATTGTTATAGGGGTTATTAAGGGGGATTCTAGGAGTTTGGACTACAGTTCATGCAGAGGCCTAGATCCAGTATTTGCTTTATTGGGATATGGGGTTTCAGGATACCACTTACTATAGGGATGTTACCGGGATAGTTACCAACATTATGGGTCTAGGTTCCTTGTAGAATTATGGTATAGGGTTCCCCAAACAGACCTCAACATGATGTTGATCATTGTTTAGGCCCCGTTACTGCTTTAGTCTCTACCCCCAGATAAATGAGACTGAGTTCGGGAGATGCTAGAAAGCTCGCCTCCAAAAGGGCCCAATAATTTTGGAAATCTCCAGGTATGGGACCCCGCAGCTGGTAGTCAACTTGATGAAAGCCAAGAAGGTCGATTCGTACGAAGTGCGTTTCTTGCTGGGGTTTGGACCCCTAAGCCCTAAACTCTGGAGTTTAGGGTTTTAGGTTTAGGGATAAGGGCTTGGGGGTAGACGGTTCAGACTCTTTCATCTTAGAGCTTTAGAGGTTGCGCCCTGTAAGCCGAAGGATGGGTTAAGTCTCTGGTATAGGTAAGAAGAGTTGCGGGTCAACCCTGGACCCTAAGTTGGGCTGCTGTTAAGGAACTCGACTGAAAGCACCAGAATATGGAAACCTTTTTTTGTAATATACACTCATCTCATGGTAACTTAATTTAAGGTCGTTAACAGCAAGCCTTACTAAGGCTTAAGCAAGAATTTCGAGTCCTCCATCGAGCGCATGAATCGGGAGCTTCCAGAGAAGTACCGGATCCTCTACCGGCCTTTCGACGCTGGGCCCCTGTTGGAGTCCACTATGGGCTATTAGACCTTAAGGGTACCTTAATCTACCCTTAATAGGGTCCTAATAGGGAATTTTAGGGTCTAATAGCCCATGGTGGCTTTAAGGCACCTTAGGCCCAAAGACTTCTCTCTATGAACACCTGCTGATATGAGCCACAATCTGCACCCCTTGCAGGGGGTTATATAGGGGACGGGCTGTAGCTAGACTAGCATCCCTTTTGGCTATGTAATCCCCATTTAAGGGTTCAAAAAAAAAATCCCCATTTAAGCAGTTTAGACTATGGCTCATATTAAGTTCTTCGGACTGTAATTGGTCCTATACCCTACTCGCCACCAGTAACGTGGACGCCGGCATGGCCTGCATGCGGGCTTTAGGGGTTTAGGGGCTTTACGGGTTCAGGGGGGTTTAGGGGTTTAGGGGATTAAGGCGTTTAGCATTTAGGGGTAAGGGATTCTGGGTTTAGGGGGTTTAGGTGTTTCGGGGGTTAGGACAGGGGTCAAGGGGTTTAGGAGGGATTAAGTTAAGGCGTTTAGGGGTAATGGGTTACGGGTTTAAGGGGTTTATGGGGTTTGGGGTTAGAGATTTAGGGTTTAGCACGGATGAAGGAAATCTTGCACCAGTTAGTATCCCCAATATATTGTAAATGCCAGCGTATAGGGCATATAATATAGGGTGATGCCGGGTTCATATCTTGGAGTCTCAACGCAGGCACGTTTTCGTTGAAACGCCTATGGGCGAGGGCTTTGACTTTAAAGACTTCCCGCGGCCATGGTCGGCGTACTGGTTCGGTAATCTGTAATCCTGACTACCTACAGCGGCGTGGTAACCGCCCTTTAATTAATTTGTATAACCCATAAAGCTGTAGGTAATTTGGGCTTCCCGCTTAACAGCAAGAAGACCATCACCATTTTCGCCCAGGTCGAGTGCTGGGTCTAGGCGGAAGCTTCTAAGAAGGGACTTGACGTAAGCCCTGCATATCCCCATAGAGGTTAAGTTGTATGAGGGGAGTTGGAGTCATTCAGGACATGAAGAACCATGCGAAGTCCAATCCGACGATCTACGAAGTCTTTGCACGTTTGGCAGAGTGCTTGGGCTGTTTAAGTGTTTAGGGGTTTACCGGAAGTTCTTTGAACAAAGTTTGAATCAATGCGTGATCTTCGCTGGCTTCAATCCTAGCAAGCAGCTGCAGTTCTACCCGGGTTCCAGGGAGGGCATCGCGTCCAGAACCCACAGGTTCAGGGTTTCCTTTTTAAGGATTTTGGGATCGTTGATTGTTGGGGTTTAAGGACGGTTGGGGCTTGGGCTGTAGGGATTTAGTTAAGATTCTGGGTGCAAGCTCTTCAACCCTGCGAAGTACAGCGTTGTCTTTAAGAGGACTCGGGGGATATGTAGAACAGGTTATAGATAGGACGCTAGAACACTATAGTCCCCTTAAGTGGATAGAATATGGAGTTGCTCAACATCATAATGGGATCCCTATCTATTTACTTAAGGGGGACTACACGCCTACTGAGCCCCTCAAGCCTCCAAGAAACAGACTCGGATTTCTTGGAAGGTCAGGGGGGCTCAGTAGGTGAACGACAGGGATAAGTGGGGTTGTCATATGGCTTAGAATGGGTAGAATTATACTTACGAAGCCCACCCGGCTCTCCAAGTAATCTTCTTGACCTTTCTGCTCCAGGCTTTTTCGTTTCGGCTAGGGCAACAATGGCATGAAACGGCGCGATTTTCTTCAAAAGTAGACAAATTCCCCCCTAAACCCCTAAACGCCCAAAATCCCCAAACCACAACCTCTCCATCCCAAAGCTCAAAGCCTGAACCCCAGGCTCTGAATCTTTGAGCTGGGACAGGTTCGTAAACAAAGGCCCTCTCTCCAAGACTCTCAAAGCTCAAGCTTTTTACCTTGCTGGGAGTGAGTGTACCGTTAAACCCTATTTAGGCATATTACCACCCTGGCGGTTCCCATTTAATAACCTACTTGTACATATTAAGTCCACGTGGCTGAAACCCAAATCCTATAAGCCCTAATTAATTCTTAGATCCTAACACTAAGCCCAAAATCCTAAACTCTAGCTATAACCTCCAAGCATAGGTCTGTGGTAACTCGAGTCGGCTTCTTCCACACCAACGAACCTCCGGCCAGGCTTCAGCACATGGATTCAGGGAGTCTACATGGCTTACGTGGGCTCAGGGTTGAGGTGGAAGGATTTGAGGGTCTAGGGTGTAGGGTTTAGTGTGAAGGGCTTGCATGGCCATGAAGGTCTAGGATTTAAGGCTTAACACTTATTCTGGGGATACAGGCTTCCCCCAAATTTTGTTGCGATGTGGATCTTGGTGAGTGTGTTATCCCCCCGCCCTGTTTATTCAAGCCCCCCAATCAAATATTTCCCTTTTACAACATTTGAAGAATTAATACAAGGGGATATTCGGGTCTGATATACACACATACATACATACATACATACATACATACATACATACTTACATACATACATACATACAAGATGCTTATACAGGGTTGCCCAGGAATTCTTTGAGTTCTCGCGTATGTTGGGTATTTACTTTGGAGGGGTCATAAAGGTATACCTTACTTGCCACATGATTTGCATAGTGTCGGTACAGGTATCATGGGTTCCCCCTCATTTCTATCCACAAATTAGCTTGATTTAGGCGGAACCTATGAAATGGTAGCATGGAAACCTGTGACTTACCTGGGCAGCCTCTCGCTTCTGGTCTCATAATTCAACCCCAAGAAGTAGGAACATGGAAAAAGGATGACTAGTGCTACTTTAAAACCTTTCTGGGCCTTGGGGTAGTGGGATACTGACGTTCCACCTTGCTTGCCTCTGTACACGCTTCTCAAGATTCATGCCGATGTTTCCCGGACTACAAGAATTTTTAATGAACTAGTGTTTATGGAGTTTAGGATCGGAGGATCGTACAAGGCATGCAGCGGAGGCCGTTGCGTCCTTTTTCATGCAATGATGCTGCTATTCCGGCTGCTTCTTCCCTTTTAAAAACAAGCTGCATTCCCGTCTGAAACAGCATGCTGCTTGTTTGCTTTCTCTTTTTGTTCGTTGAAGTGTCGTTACTTCCGCCGTTCTTAGTGCGTGCCTGGATTGGCAAGTTGGAATGTCCCAACCGTACAGCTTCTTTGGGGCGAGGAGGCTCCCAAGGGTGTGTTCCTTGCTTCAAGAATCAGCTCGGTGTTGCAGATGCAAATGTTTTTCTCCGCTTGGGTCCTGCATTAGATGGAGGAATCTTACATGACTTAGGATCCGGACTGTACTTTTTAGGGTAGGAAGAATACGGGAGCTTTCCTCCATCCACACGGATCAGCGTCACCGCGGCCGGCAAGAGTCTGGCAACGGCAAGCTTCCACGACGCTGCCCTGTGCAGCTTGAAGAGGCGCTAATTATTTCCGCGCCTATGATTTCGGGATTAAGGTTTGGGTTTAGGGTTTAAGGTTTGGGTTTAAAATGTTTAAGAACCTGATGACCTGAAACGAGTACAAAGCCACGCAGCCGAGGAAGGCTTACAGGGACGTCCTCAGAGGCTGCAGAACGGCGTGGTTCGCACAAACTGCGTGGACTGCTTCTAGGCTGAAGGTTTAGGGTTTAAGGTCTGATTACCACAGGTAATAGTCTTGAGGGCTGAGGACTGAGGGTTCAGAATTTGCAGTTCGATGCTTCTAAAGCTTTCTTGACGCCCAACTATTGGCTATAGGAGTAATATGCCCTAACCCTGTACATCATGTGGTCTCTGGAACCCTAGAACAGCACCACCACATCAAGCTAACGCGCCATACGCGTCTCAGGCTTCATGCAGTCTCCCCAGTACCCTAAACCCCTTCGGGCTCATGTAGTCCACCCATTACCCTTGCAAAATTTGTCAGGGCCCTTTTTTTGGTAACTCCCCACCTGAACCTTAAAGCCTCCACTTTCCCCGGTTTCTGCTTGTGTTCCCTAAACTGCTCCACAGCACAGGTTTGGATCGCACCTGAGCTGAACACAGAGTGAGGGTTTGGTTTAGGGCTTGGAGTTAGGACTTAGAGGTTAGGCTTTAGAGTTACTGGGGTTTACGGTTCAGGGTTTAGAGTTACCCTTCTCCAAACTAACACGGAACTCCCCAAGAGGGATTGTAAAGACCGCTGTCCATATGCAATCTTCCATGCTAGTTTCGTGGAGGAAGTGCTGCTGCACAGTTTTTCCTCTCTTGGTGCCGGCTGTTGTTTGTGATTCGGTGTTAAATTTTCCTGCTTCAGGATTGGAGTTTAGGATTTTCTTGTTTTACCGCTGTATGGTATATAGAGGGTTAGGCTTTCATGTGTACGGCTTCGGGCGAGTATTCGACAGCCTATGTACCTTAACCGAAAGGATTGCATGACTAGACTCCCAAGCCCAAAGGGTCCAAAGTACCTATATGGTACAAAGTATGGTTTCTGTAGTAGTAATTTCCATTATGGTTTGGGTAAGTATACCCCATATGGGTACTTAGGACCCTCTGGGAAGCCCTAAACCGATCAGGAACCAACGTCTTGCAGTTCTTCGTTGGTCTCGAGGTTCTGAAGCAGCAGCTTACGGCGATGTGCTTCGTGGCTGCTATTACCGGTACTTTAAGGGCCCAAGTACATAAATAAAGGGTTTACATAGATCTCAAATCGTGCAAGTTTTCGGTACCTGCGCCCCAAATACAATGGGGCATCTTGATTTAGGTACAGAGCTTAAAGAGGTTAGGGTCTTCAGACTTGGGTATTGGGGTCAGGATTCAGGGTTCAGGGTATGGGATTTGGGGTTCCAGGCTTGGACTGAAAAAAAAGAAGTTAGGACTTATGTTAGGCTTAGCATCTGAATTTTGTGGTGTAGGGGTTATCCCTGGCCCACGATAGGCCCCGAACACCCACACACCTCTGCATATCTGGCAAGCCCAATGCTAGCACCAACTCTTGCTGGTACCTAATGTTACATACAAAAGGCCCACGACCAGGCAACAGCCTTTTTTCCGCATGATGGACCCCTTTAAAGCAACATGAGCGTTGTACATGTCTCCAAATTCCAAAAAGAAGCCCCTAAACCCTAAACCCTAAAGAGTAGTTTCCATTTTCTTTTCCATTATCCCTATATAACCCCAATATAATCCCTATATAACCCCTCTAATCCCTGTAGTTTCCATTTTCTTGTCCATTACCCCTATATAAACCCAATATCATCCCTATACAACCCCTATATATCTAATCCCTGTAGTTTCCATTTTCTTTTCCATTATCCCTATATATCCCCAATATAACCCCTATACAACCCCTCTAATCCCTGTAGTTTCCATTTTCTTGTCCATTACCCCTATATAACCTCAATTTGATACATCCCTACCAATTTGTTTGCTTCCCCGGAGCTCAGGCTTACTTCCGGAGCCTAAGATGGACTTTGAAAGTCAGGCTGTGCCTCTGCAATCGGATTCACCTGGTTTAGGGTTTAGGGTTTAGGAGGTTCAAGGGGCTTATGAAGAATGTTCTAGATTGGGCATTTATGACCTACTTACATATTTAAAAGTTCCTGTTGCCTGGAAGTGAGGGTTAGGGTTACTGAGAAGCCGGAATGGTTACCAACATGAATCCCGCTTTCCAATCTTCATGCATATGGTTGGGGTTTGTTTGCAGGGTTTCGGTGCAAAAGATGCCTCCCCTACATGAGCCATGGTCTAAACTCCTTAAAGGGGGTTCTATAGGGATTATATAGGGAACTAGTATACTAGGGGTTATTAAGGGGGATACTAGGAGTTTAGATCATGGTTCACATTGACCTGCACAGAGGCTGGTTGGCCTAGCAGGGGTCCTGCCGATTTTCCACAGTTTTATGTACGTTAGTCAAACTCCCATGAAGCTTCCATGATTGTCTGGAAACTTGCGTTGTTGACCGGCCAAAGTGGCAATTTAGTACCGTGTGAGGAACGCCCGCGTGTCAAAGTTTGAGAGTTCAGGCATATTTGAGCTATAGTCTAAACTCCTTAAAGGGGGGTTATATAGGGATTATATAGGGGACTACTATAAGGGTTATTAAGGGGGATACTAGGAGTTTAGACCATGGCATATTTCGAGAAACTGAAGAAGGGCTCCAAGCTCTCTGATTGCACTTCCCTGGCTATGTCGGCGCTATCCTCTTCACAACTCAGGGTTTCCAACAATGAAGGATCTGCTCTTTTGGGGTCCCCATGCCAGGTAAAGGCAAGTATGGTTCGTGTTTTTGGGGTTTATGTTAGAGTTCCCCCCTGTTTACAGAAAAAACCAACCCGGTTGTCCTGTTGGTTGTGAAGACCAAGGTCTTCGTGCTAAGCGAGCTCTATGATGTTATGGGAGATCATTTGGCTCTGCAGTATGCCGGGTCTGTGGCTCACAAGAAGCTAGGTTGCTGTTAAGGGTTTTAGGGTTTAGGGTTAAGGTAAAGAACTAAAATTAGATTGCCAAAGTATGGGTATAGGGTTTAGGGCTTAAGTGACCATAAGATTGGTATATAGGGCTTAAGGGTTAAGTTACTATAATATGGGCGTATAGGGTTTAGGGTTTAAGTTGCCATAATCTGGGTACATAGAGTTCGCCTTTATTGTAGTAATCTTAACTTCAGCTCTTTTTCAGCAACTCAGGAAGTATCAGCTGCTGGGCAGTCGCCCGCGCATGATGACAAGTTCCAAGGCAGGGTGGTCTTTATCATTTTTTGTTGGGGAAGACGCTGCTGCAAGACAACCATATGCACAACGAGGGTATGCTGCAGCTCCCAAGAACTTTGGTGCTTAAGATTAAGACCACAACTGCAATCTCTCAGCCCTAAACCCTACCTGTCGTATTTCTATAAACCTTACCACTATGGGCTATTAGACCTTAAGGGTACCTTAATCTACCCTTAATAGGGTCCTAATAGGGAATTTTAGGGTCTAATAGCCCATAGTGGTAAACACACACACAAGCAACCCTAAACCCTAAACCCTAAACCTATCAGGAGCTCCTTACCTCCATCCATCGCCACTACAACAACTCTTTTACAGATGCTTGGCCGGGCTTAAGGTTTATATAGGTTTTGGTTTAAGATTTAGGCTTATGAGCTTAGAGCTCAAGTGTAGGGCTCAGTTTCAGAGCTTTCGGACTCGTTCCTTTTCTACTTGGCATTTGGTAGGGAATGGGAAGTTGATTGTAGGCATGCCTTTGGGGGTATATACCAGAGTACTCTAGGCCCGTTTGGTTTCCTACAAGTACTAGTCAGTACCAGGTAGCTGTTTTGTCTAGTTATTGGCTTTCCGGCCACGTCTTAGAATACTGTGATATCTTATGAATCCCATGGAGCATGCAACCTCTTCCCTGAGTAACCAGTAGCTAGCCCCCCCCCCCTCCCTAGTGGATGATGGCACCTTCTGTGGAAGTACCTTCCACCAGGGGTGTTTGGGGGAAATTTTCTTCCAGGGCACTTTGCTTCGTTTGGCACTTTTTAGCTCCAAACATAAAGCCTAACCTTTAACCCCAAGCCCCAAACCTTTTTTTGGTTTACTGGGGTTGCCGAGCAGCCTGGGATAGGGAGAAGCCGGAGTGCTTTAAACCCTAAACCCCAAACCTACACCCTAAATCCTAAACCCTAAATCCTCAGCCCTAAATCCTAAGCCCTAAACCCTGAGCCCTTGGCAGCGCAGGATAGGGAGAAGCAGGCCTGCCTGAACTTATTCCTTGGCCTGTACCAGCCTGCGATTCACCCTCCCATGGAGTCTCGGCCATGCCGTGGGGAACGTTTTACTACTACTACTACTACTACTACTACTGCTACTGCTACTGCTACTGCTACTGCTACTACTACTACTACTACTACTACTCCCTAGTCTTATTATTACTAATCTTACTACTATTCCCACCAGTACTACTAGTACCCCAAAGGGTCCATGTGGCTAATATAGTATATACTTAGTGCCCAAAGTGGCTCCCAGAAAATTACTTTAGGGCCCAAGTATGTGCTATATAGCTACGTGCACCCTTTGGGTATTACTATGACTACTATTACTACTATGGTTGCTGTTACAATTGTTACCATGCTTATCCCTACTATTGTTATTACTGGTGTTTCTTTGTTGCCAACATTATTTGTTTTGATTTTTTGTAGTTCGAAACCATCGAAATCTTAGACCCTAAGCTTGGCACAATATGAGCTATAGTCTAAACTCCTTAAAGGGAGTTTATATAGGGATTATATGTTGGGGATTAATACAGGGGTTATTCAAGGGGAGACTAGGGTTCAGGGGCTATTAAGGGTTACTAGGAATATAGATTATAGCTCATCTAAGGCATCTGTGGGCAATTGTGCAGCAGGAAAGTAGCCAAGCATGAAGCCCATTGGAAACACGATATAAACTATAACTAAGGATTAGATTCCACTGCGATATTTTTGTGAATAGGGTTCCTTAGGAATAGTGGTGGGTGAATACATTTTTTGGACCATTCAATTCCACCCTTTTTGAAGCCGTCCTCCCCCGAAACATTTATACGTATCCTAGGGGAGAGGCCTGGCACCTGGCACCCTGAGCTCTAAAAGCCCCATGCGTTAGTCAAGGTTTAGGATTTAGGGTTTAGGGTTTAGAAGTTATTGGACCATAGAATTCCCTACTACTTGGAGGGTCAGGGGACTTAGTAGGTGGGTTTATAATGGGGAAAACTAGGTTCGTTATTATATGGGTTTTAGCTTACTAAGTTCCACGGACCCTCAGAGTAGGACTAGGACCCTTAGAAAGATAGATTAAGGGCGTTTCATGCGTAGAGCTCGAGATTGACAAGCCTTTCGCTTGAGGAAAAGCTGGACTGCGACTCCTGGGTCCACCACAAAGTCGCTTAATTATGTGTCAGTTGGGCTCTATGTGGGTATATATATATATGTATATGTATATATCTATATGTATATATAGATACATATATAGATAGTTGTGGAAGGTTATATTTCGGGATTTTACAAAGCTTTAGTGACATTACCAGAATAATGGAGAATCCATCGGATCAGAGGATGGACAATGAAATGGAAATTGGGCTATAGGGCTGGTGCTTTCTGACAGATTTGGGTCTGGGGTACGGGAAATCTACTTAGAATTTGAAATACGTTTCCAAAGGTGCAGGGAAAGGAGATGCTTTATGGTAGATCTGTGTGCCCTGCTGATCCACAAGAATCCTCACATGAAATCCGGAAAATGGTTCTGGAACAAGGCTCAGGTTTCTTTGCGAAGAAGCATACACAGTCCTTTGACACCTGCAAAATAGCATTTTTGTGTCTGCCTCAACGCCTCGTTCGTGTCATTTAGGCTCCTATGCTCAGCTAAGAGGAGTTGCTGTACCGTTTTGAGGTGGACTGCCTTCCAACACTTGTAGACTCACAGTCGTACACACCACTCGTACACTTTGAAAGAAGACAACGTCTCTCCTCTGGGTCGGAAGCCCCCTTGACTCTGCTTTGTCATGAATACCACACATCCTTCGAATCTTTGAATCCTCAAACCCCACAGAATGTAATTTCCAGTCCTCCATTTCTTATGAACCCCTTCCCCCGAAAGTTAAAACCATTTGCTCCCCAAACTTCAACCATTTCCAGTTGGAATATTTAGTATCTGGGGGGGAGTTTGTACCAGGCGGAACTAGCAATGATTTCCAAGTCTAAACCCTAAACCCCCAAGCAGATCCCAAACCCTATACGTACACTCCAGTATACCCCTAAATACTCCTGGTTTATCCCTTTCTTCCTGTACATATCCTTACATATCCCTAGTACGCCTATATGTCCCTATATACGCCATGTCTCATTCTATATCCCTTTATATGCCTCCATACAGCCCCCATTTATCACCCTTTGCTATAGATCTTTTCCCTACATATCCCTTACATATCCCTATATACACATGTATATTTATATATATAGACATGCACGAATATACCTTTAGATGCCTCAGTATATCCCTAAACCCTAAACCTTAAATCATTACCTTACCTCAATCCCAGGTTGAATACTGCCCCCACTCATATAGACTGTTACTGGGTGGGGGCAGTGCCCAAATCCCAGGTACTGAAGGATGACTATTCTCCTGGGGAGTGGTGGATAGAGCCGCTACAGAAGCATACGGAGAGCCTGCTGCCTCTTTTGTCCGAGGACCCTGGAAAAGCCTGAGGTACGCATAAACAGTAGAATTTAGGAGGCCCCCCCCACCCTGTAATAGTGGTATAATAGGAGTATAAGAGGACCCTAATATAATCCCTATTTCCCCAATATTCACTATTACTGGGTGGGGGGTCCACCTACAAAAAGAATCTTTGGTTTAGGGGGGTTGACAGGGATTTATAGGTTTGGGGCTTTGAGGTGAGTGTAGGATTGATTCCGAGATACTTTTCCTGTTTTGTTACATGAGCTATAGTCTAAACTCCTTCAGGGGGGTTATATAGGGGATTATATATGGGACTACTATAGGGGTTATTAAGGGGGATACTAGGAGTTTAGACTATAGCTCACATCTTGTCAGAGATCCAAAGCCCATAAGGGATTGCATAGGGCCAAATAGGCATGCCTGTTTGGTTCTAGGCCCCAAGCTCCGCGGCAGCACACGGGGAGATTCATGCATATCTGTACATAGGCATGTTCCCATAAACCCTATACCCCAGGGACCCCAAACCCTAAATACTAAGCCCTAAACCTTCAGACATCCTAAGACTGAGGCTAGCGCTCGCCTCTGACGGCCAAGTGCCGAAGTACGAATCCCCTCCCCCTAATATTAAACCCCACTCCCCTCATATCAAATATTCCCAATATCTTGTAATGTACCACATAATGGGAGTATTTAATATTAGAGGGGTGGGGGGCGGTGTTGATATTAGGGGGAGGGGATGAATATGGCATCTAAAGTCCTAACAGTGGGCCCTTAATTTCGGCCGCTACCTGTCTCCTGGGTTGTAACGTTTAGCCTTTACTTGGGTTCATAGGGTAGCTAGATACGGACCGCGGGATCAAGGTCACATGAGCTAATGTCTAAACTCCTAGTATCCCCCTTAATATCCGCTATAGTAGTCCCCTATGTAATCCCCTATATAACCCCCCTTTAAGGAGTTTAGACTATAGGTCACATACTAGGGGCAAGTAGTTCCAACCTTAGATGAAAGCATGAGTCCCGAGGATCCGGAGTACAACATCAAGCTGACCCCGGATGGCCTTCAGAAGCTATGAGAGTTGTAAACATGCTTTTGATTCTTTTGGGATTTAGGGATTTAGGAGTTTAGGGGTTTAGGGTTTAGGGGTTTAGGGGCTTAGGGTTGGGTTTAGGGTTTAGGGTTGGGTTTAGGGTTTAGGAAAATCCTGACCCTCGACAGTGATTATTCCCAATTGAGCAACATTTTGTTACTGCACTAGGGGAGGAGGTTGTCGTTCGTGTTGAGGAGGATGGTAGTTCTGCATTTTTTCAAGATGGCAAGAGAAATCAAGGAATTGGTTCTGCCAGGTCCACAAGACTGAGAAGTGCCTGGGTGGCCAGACTCTAAACCCTACATTCTAAACCATGAGCCCCAAACCCTAAACACTACCCTGAACCCCAAACCCCTAAACCCTAGATCCTAATACCCTACAAACCCCAAACCTTAGACCACAAACCTCCCATCCCAGAGCTTAACCCTAAGCTCGAAAGCCTAGGGTTTCGGGTTCAGGGAATAGAGTTTAGGTGTTAGGGTTTAGGGTAAACTGCAGGCCGCGTTTGTTTGGCTGCCCAGGTACACTTGGTTCGAAAAGCTGCTGGCGAATTCGGATGCCACTTTCGTACAGATCCTGGGCTAGTGTCCTTCCCTAGACCCTCCAACTACCCTCTGTTCCGGCCTAGGTACCCACCGTAACCCCACTGCAGGGTACTATGAGGGTCCTGGCTAAAAAGGTCTCGCTATCTGGTGTTGCGTTCCTAAACCTTAGAGCCTAAAACCTATCACTGGGTCAGCATAAAGGCATTTTAGTCTTTGGGTTGTCTTTCTGCCAAAAAAAGGTTCCTCTTCTGTTCCTAGGCAAACGTGGCCTAAGACTACTTTGCTGGAGGAAACCCTAAACCTCCAGCCCTGAACCCCAAGCCCTAATAATTACTGAGAGCTCCTAGCATCCCCAGCTCAAGGTTCTAGGCCCCTCATAGGGTTATATGGGAGTTTCCCAAAAGTAGGGGTACCTTTTTGGGGGTCCCCATAATAAGGACTATAGTATATTGGGGTCCCCTTATTTTGGGAAACTACCATATAGGTATGGGGACATATGGGTCCGTATAGGGAGATATAGGGACACATACAAGGATATATCAACTGGAGAATCAAATGGAAAAGAACATGGAACATATAATGGAAATGCGGGTTCTGTAGTGTAGTGGTCTTAGCGGGTACCCTTCTGTATGCTTCTTGTTTCCATCTCATCCCCCCCCACCCCGCCCACATCAAAAACCGCCAAACCCCCTCCACATTAAATATTCCCAGTATTCTAGTATACTACAATGGGAATACCTAATGTTAGAGGTGTTAGTATCAGGGGGAGGGGATTGCGGGCTGTACAACCTACCCACCACCACGACCCTTAAACTTGACACCAAGGATCAATCCTGCCAGCCGCCCATTGCGAACAGTGGGGCCCTACAAGAGGTTGCTGGATCTTTTTCAACCCTAAACCCTAAAAGCCTTAAACCCTAAATAGACCTTTCCAAACCTCAGGAGTCCCTGCTTTGGGCTCCCAACAATCGGGAGGATGGTACTTTGGGGGTGGGTATTGGGGCGGTAGAGGGTGGCTTTGCTGATGTTTGACCCTCCGGACCCTGTCTTGGCGACCTTAGGACCGGAACTGAATTCAAAATCCTTCAAGCCCAATCCCTCAACACTAAACCCTAAACCAAACCCTAACCCTTTACCAAGGTATCTGGAGCGCAAGCAGAAAGAAGCAAAGCCCAGGGAAGTGATCCGCGCAAAGCCAAGCTTCTCACTGGAACCAATGACCAAGGATACAGCTATGAGATGGTAGTTCCCGTTGGTTTTCCCATGTTCTCATTGCACCTATTTAGAAGGGAATCTCCCAACACTAGGGTCCCATTTCGGTACCTCTAGATACTAGGCGGAAGTGTTGTACAACCAAAAAGGGCCCAACGTTTATTGAGAATGACCCATATCCTTGTAGAATCCCTTTGTCGGGTTTCAGGATCCAGGTTTGAGCGGGGGTTCAACGATTGGTGATAGATGGGGAGTGTGGAAGTGAATACAGGAACCATGTAGAGCTACATTACATGTGATATGAAGATTGGTGTCCTAGGTTTTTTTGGGGGGAGTGTAAATACGGTTCCTAAGGAATATCGGTGTGTGTCTGTATATGTATATATATATATGTACACTTATTGGGTGTTCAATTGTGGGGGACCACAAACAAAAGCCATCAATAGCTCACGAGATTCACTCCCATAGGTGATCCGACTTAAGCACTAGTGAGACAGAGCAAAGGACTGAGACTGAGGAGAATAGCTTCATCATGAGGCGGTGTGCCGCAACCAGAATTGCACCCAAAACCTAAACCCTCATAAGCCCAGAATACCCGCGCCCCGGACCTCCCATCCTCTAAACCCTAAACCCTAAACTGGCTAAACATGTGCACAGGAGGAGTTGGAGGTATACCAGACATACCTTGACACTAAGAAGCTCAGTCGTCTGATGTGGCTTGACCTTGCGCCCGTGTTGAGCATCATTTTACCATAGTTTCACTTGAGAAGTTCAAGGTGCCATGAGGTGCTGAAAGCTTTATAGTAAGGGTTATATTAGGGTTACATTAAGGTTTTATTAGTTAGGGTTATATAGGGATAATGGAAAAGAAAATGGAAACTACTATAATGGGGTATATAGGCTATAGAATATGGGATATATGGGGATCTTATCATAATACCCAAAGCTATATTCTATCTACTTAAGGGGAGATTATAAACGTTCAAGGTTCAGCGAAATGCTCGGGATGAAGCCTGTAGACTCGTGCAAGGAGATGTTGGGTGTTTTTGGGTAGGGTTCTCCGACTCAGATTAACGTAGCTACTTTGAGACTGGTGTCTTTCAATGGCTGTCCTCCAGTCGAGGAGCACTAGTGCCACTCAGGCTCTGATGTGGAGTATTGCTATGAGCCTATGAGCCCATTTTATGACATGTTACCATTTGGTGCCGACAACCCACCAGAACAGGGATCCTGCATATCGCGTTGCCTCCTCGTTTGAGTCCACAGTTTAAGACTGAAGGTTAACGCAGCACCCCCCCAGATGTGGGACCTTGGCAAGGAACCCTTCTGGCGAAAAACTAGCAATCCATACAGTAGAAGTTTGAACGTGCAAAAGGGTCAAAGATCTGTCCCTGAGTGCGAATACTTAACCCTGAAACCCAATCCGCTAACACACTACACCTGAAGAGATCCAGGAAAGCGCGCCGGATGACAAGCTGCATTTGTTCGCCTCGCCAACTTTCTACGCCCTGGAGGGTGAGCAGCCCGCGTCACACAACATGAAGCTGGATCGACATCCGGGACGTTTTCGTGCTGTCTTTGGGGGGGGGTTCATAGTGACCTTGCATAGTAGCATGGGTATTTCCAGCAATCAGAGGTCCCTTACTTACTATTATGTACCTTCCAAACTACACAAGGTCTAGTTCTAGCGACCTTGAAAAAGGGACCGCTAGTGTTTGGAACTCTCTTGTAGATCCTAACCCCTTAATCCCAAACCCTGAACCTTTAAACCCTGAACCTCCCTAAACCCTGGACCTCCCTAAACCCTGAACCAACAGCCAACTCAGGAACTCACGTGCAAGTAAGCTCCTTGGGGATGAGGTCGTCAAGGCTGCGAGGAGCTTGAGCGATGAGCTGGCGCAGCTTCCTGGGCTCATCTTAAGGGACTACTGGGTTGCTTTGTTAAGAAACTCAGAGTAAGATACTATCATAAGGAAACACTATGATGTATCATATACCAAAAAGTATGATAACTTAGTTTAAGGGCTTCAGGGATTCGCATGGATTGCGGCCTATCTGCTTTGACTTGGTTTGGGTTTGAGGGCTTGGGGTTCAAGATCGAAGGTGCAGGGTTTGGGGTTTACAGGGCTTTGGACCTGAAGTGTACGTATAATTTCGGGGTGTGGACTGCCTAGACCCTCCTTCTACCCTCTATTAGGGCCTAAGTATCCGCTATTAGGGACCATATACCCCAATTTAAGGGTACAAGGAGGCTCCTGGTGTAGACTTCCAGATTTCCATCTCGGACTTCTCAGGGTCACATGGACTGAGGCTCGTGCAGGCAAGGCAACAAGAAGGCTGGCACGAAAGTGCGGAGAAAGAGAAGGACAAGGAGCACGAGCAGAATCTAGGTCGCCACTAAAGAGGGTATAAGATGGAACGCTACCATATGGGGCCTTTTGCTTCTAGCAGGAGCCTGTATGAAAGGCATTCTGGACGCTTGACCCAGGAATCAGCAAAAGCTCTGGCGGGACTTGAAGAAGAGAGCCCGTGACCGGATCTTGAGGAGTATCCGCCAACAACAGCAGCTTCTCTGGTCTTAGATGAGAACTAGGGGCCCTGAAAGTATCAGCAAGTTCAGGGTTAAGGGTGTCCGGGTGGGCCAGTAAGGGATCAGGGAAGGCACCGGCAATGGTGCTACAGGATTTTTTTACATGGCCGCATAGTTGATTATTTGACCCCAAGGTCAGTGGAGGATAACTTGGCCTTGTATTTTTGGTGTTTAGGGTTGAGGGGGTGGGATCCGGGGATTCGGCATAGGTTTTGAGGGGTTCTGGGCGTTGGCGGTTGGGGTGACGGGAAGCAGAATTTTCAGGCCAATCCAGAACATGCCTTGCCTCTGAGCCAGTGGACAATTGGAGGGTTAGGGTGATTGAGCAAATAGTTTAAGAGTTGGGGTTTTGCATGGCTTATAGGGGATAATTACCCTTATTCCCCCTACAGGGGTTATCAGAGTGATAGATACCCCTCAGTTTGTCCCGCTGAACCGCAGCAAAGGAAGGGAGTGCGCTCAATGCAGAAGCTGCATACCGTTGAGCCTTACCTGTCTAGGCCGACTCGAGGCTTGGCTTTGGTTTAGGGTTTAGGGTTATAGGGTTATAGGGGTTTAGGGTTTAGGGTTATAGGGTTTAGGGTTATAGGGTTTAGGATTTAAGGTTTAGGGTTTAGGGAGGAGGTATATCGGGATTAAGCAGGATCATATGGGGAGTATGTAGAGCTTAGGGATTTTACCGCCATAGTGGAGACTCACATGGAAAAGACACTTGTGGATGGACATGGAAATTGTGTTTATATGGGGACTTGTCGAGGAGTTTGGCAAGTAAGCTGAACGCCGGGACCTTGTTATAGTCATATGATAGTCACAGGGTTCTATTCTTGGGGTTACAGTTTACCAAGATCCTCGAAGCAATAACATATTCCTCCATATGGGAGTTCCCTAAAATTAGGGGTACCGTTTTGGGGGCCATAGTGAGGATTATGGCCTATTGGGGTCTATATTGGGGTCCCTTTATTTGGGGAAACTACCATATCCTTCCTTCGTAACTGAAACCGCACTTGGCTCCTCTCAGCTTTGTCTGGTACTCCCCCCAACAGACCTCGACACCTTCCTCCCCGGTCGGATGATTCCTTTTACAGACTCATTTTTTGCCTGCCGCAGGTCATCGGGGTGGGTTTAGTTTGCTGTGAGGGTCAAGGGATGACTTCTGTCTTGCTTTGTGCCTGAGGCCCTGAGCATCAAAAACCTTGACTCCTAAACCCGGAACCCGAAACCCTAAACCAAACACACTGGAAGCGTTAGCCCGTAGTAGCAGCCAGGCGCTTAAGGTTTCGGGTTCAGGGTTGTAACCCCGCTAACTACCTTACCGCTTAGTAGCTATTACCCCTGAGTTAGTAGGTATGACCCATGAAGTTATAGGTAACTGGGTCTCAGGTAGGCTTCAAAAGTGGAAGTTTTATAGTCCCCTTGAAGTAGACGGAATATGGAATTACCCAAAACCATAACGAGATCCTCATATATCCCATGTAATGCCTTCCTGAGGGGGGCTATAGGCTTCAAAGGGTTTAGGGAGGCACCAGATTACGAAGCCCCTTGCCTGCGGCATGGATAAGACTAGCTGGTGGTGGGGTCCTGAGAGACCAGGGGTTATCCATCAATGGGTTCATTGCACCTTCAAACACTTCAAGTCCCAAGCCCTATATCCGAACACCCTACACCCTGTAGTCATCCCAAATCCTGAAACCGGGGACCCTTAACCCTAAGAACCCTAAGATTTTAGGTGTTACATGCTACGCGCCCTAAACCCTTAACCCTTTACACTCCCCCAAACTAACATGGAAACTCATATAGCCCCCCTTTTAGAAGGACTATAGTCTTTATAGGGCCCTTTTTGGGCTTCCATGTTAGTTTCCAGGAGTGTAACCCTTTAAGGGGAAGAGCCAGCCAGGAGCTGAGTCCCGCTCGCGGGACCCGACTTCTGTCAGCTTATCCCGGCGTCTGACGCCGCATTTCTACACCGCGCCCTCCCATGCCCGGGCTGATGAGACACTCAGCGTTACCATGGTACCCAATATAGAGTAAGATTATATCCTCCTTTTGGGGTATAGTATTTTATATAAGGAATATGATCTTACTGGGTTTAACCACCACAAAAAAACACTACTCAGCTGAGTAAGGTAGAAGACCAAATATTCACTCATGGTTCTACGTTCGGTGTATAATTATGGTATAGGGTACCTCAAACAGACTTCAACACAGTATTGGCGTGCATTTAGAGGCCCTTTTGTGCATCATTTGCTGTATGGCAGGCTGGTTTAGAAGGATTCCACAGGATTATATAGGAACTAACAAAGATTTCATAGTGGTTATCTAGGCTTGTTGGATAGTACCCCTTAGAACGGAGCGTCAATTGGAACATGAAATTGAATCAGAGACTGTGTAAGTGTTATGGTGTAATGTATTACGAGTTACTACAG